CCACACACACACCACACATGCACCACACACACGCACCACACACACACACGAACCACACACACACATGCACCACACACATGCACCACACACACACATGCACCACACACGCGTACAAGTCCGACTCGTCGAACGATCAATAGCCGGGATGATGTCACGCTGTGTCGAGAAGTGCACGCAAGCGCGTGCACTTCTTGACAGGTGGTCGGAGCGTGCACTTCTTGACATTATCCCTTAAATACGCACTACAATGACAATAGTTTAAAGCGATTTGAAGCATGTTTAATTTTTTTTGGGGGGGGGGGCAGAGCTTTGTGACGTCATATTTGAGGGGAGGGGTCTGACTTTTTGTGACGCCGTGTGACGACGGAGGGGGGGGGGGGTAAAAAAATCTTCAAAAATCGCGTGACGTCATTTATGGACGACCCCTTGGTGCTGCGTGGAAGCGAATCATCGAATAATACATTATTTAAATGCATACTTCAATAGGGATTACCGTTGGTCCGGCTATTTTAATACACACAATAGACAGGAAGGACAAGTTCAAAGGGCTCGCATAATGTACGTTGCCTCAGCAATCCCCTTCCCCCAGGTGGCACAAGAGCGCAGCTGCGTGGTCACCACATCGACGCCTCTATATAAGGAACGAAACAGTTAGACTTCTCCACAAATCTGTCTGTCGCCTGATGAAGCTAGTTGTAATTACTGGCGAAACGTCGTGCTCAAGATTGTAAATGTTGTGGCTTGGCTCTCCAACACACCGGTTAGTGCTGTACTAGTGACGAATTGGCCACGTTCTGTTTACGTGACAACCCTTACTATTTGGCTGTGTCGGGTGGTGGCGGGTTTTAACGGCACATTTATATATTTACGCGATCTAGCCCAAAAAAAAAACTATATTGTTCTGCCTCACGGTAGGTGTGGGGGTGTGTGTACACAGGAATTTCCTGTTTGGATGTTGAGTTTGGTCACGTGACCAGAAAGTTACGATTTGACATCCTCTAAGCCAGGGGTCACCAAACTACGGCCCGCGGGCCGAAATCGACCCGCGACGTCAGTCCATCAGGCCCGCCGACGGTACTTGAATTTGGTTGATAAAACGTATGGAAAACGAGACGTTGTGATACAATTTAAATATTATGTTTAGAATACTAGGGGATCTTCACGCGTGCGGAGACCTCCTGACTGCTATGTTCCTTAAATGTACTATTTCAAATTATTGTATCTAGATTTTGTTGTTTATTGTAATGTTTGCTTATTTCGCCTCCACCCCAAGTACTTCCCCGGCTCGTGGTAGCTCCGCCTACGCTCTGACGTTACCATGGTTTCCATGGCAACGTCATGGCAACACGTTACCATGGTTTCCATGGCAACACACAAACACGCATCTTTCCCGCCCCCAGATTTTCCAGCTGTCAACACAGGTCCGACGCTCAAGAAATATTTATTTATTATGCGGCCCGCGCTCGTCATTCTTTCAGTTATCTGGCCCATTGTGAACAAAGTTTGGTGACCCCTGCATGAAGCCATGCGGCAGGGTGTCAGCCATTACACAGAGTACAAAATGGTGGCACAAATAGCTTCCCAGTGAAGACAGGTGTATCTGTTCATTGTGGAACTTTAAGAAGCATTGTCTGTAAGCTTGTTTATGTTCTTATAATACTGGGAATGCTGTTATAATGTTATAATGGCCGTTATAATGCTGTAAATGCCTTTATAATGCTGTTAAATTGTTATGATAAGTATGAGGCCTAGTTAACAACGAAGCCTGCCACTTGCCTTACTGTGAATGTTACTTGTAATTGAATAAGTCGAGTCAGACTTGTACCCATGTAACCTTATTGCGATCTTGAGAGCAAGGATAACGAAATATCTCATCCACAGTGTTATGCGTAGTGATGTACATTTAGGCTGCAGTATGGTGATTACACGATGTGCCCTTAACACTGTAGCTTATTCTCTTGTATAGCTATTCACTACTAATGTAGATGCCTGGTCCATTCAGGATCTATTGTTGAGTTTCATGTTATCTAAGACAATGTTATGATGCTGTAGTGTTCATTCATTGTATTGATATTTCCAAGTATTAACAGATGCTGTATTCGTGCTGTGTTTTCCCATCAGTTTTACCTCGTTCAATTCATTAAATACGTTTGGAGTCAGATGTTCACCCTGGCTCTGAAGGTTTATTGAATGCGAGGTTATCTACTCGGATAGTGGTGCAACGTAGCGCACAGCGAGGCCGAGATATATATTATGGAGGTTCTGAAGAGTAATAATGATAGCACGCAAAATAGCACCTTAAAATTGGTTCTACAGTACGTTTAATTTGGCTAAATTCCAGCTGAAAAATAAAAATACAAATTTTAGTGTAATGTGACCAGGATTGCCCAATACCAGGGCTGGTGGCAATGTGCTGCCCCCTGCTGTGTGAACCAGAGGTCACGTGAAGGATTTCAGATGCAGTTCTGTGATATGTTCGTCCATGGGTTGTTCTCAAACATGAACGGGTACGCTGTTCTGTTAGATTCGAATGGATAATTCAAATGACGCTAAAATCACTATCAGGATGAAAGTGTTTTGACTATTAAATACCGAATATTCAGGTTCGTTTTGTAAAACCAGTTGAGAACTCAATAGTCTCTTTTGCAAGTGGCCTTGGTCACCAAAAAGATAAAAGCGAAACTAATTAAATACATTTTCACTTAAAATAAAATATTACAATGAAGCAAAAACAATTGTGTCATCTGTGAAATCGAAATATTGCACAAACAGAAATCAATGTTAAATAATACATTTCCATACCCTTAAGTCGGTTCGGGCAGACTATTTTTAGGCTAATCAATTTAACATTTTAGTATTACGTGCCATGAGTAAAACTATTTTTGGTCAATTGGCAAAAAAAGCCTCCATCATAGGTTCGGTGCAGCATGTTCAACTTTTCTGGGTCTCTATTGCATTTGGCACATCAATGATCTTTTGTGTATTTGTTTTACATATTTCTTAACACCATATCAGCTGTTTGTATTAAATGCGCCTCAGGTGTAACCGAATGACGCGTGGAATCGTTGTCCTGCAGTCTCATTGAGTAATCCCCTGGTGACCAGGGGAAATAAAACCACCCTTCACGAAGTGGCGGTGACGTCAAAACGGCGCTTGTGCCAGGATAGGTGCACGTTGAGTCCACGTGAAGTGTTGAAGGCCCGCCGGAAGGTCAAGGAACAGACCAAGGTGCCACGGGTTCACTGAGATGACTGGCAGATGCACCAACTATGTTACCCACTGTGCCAACTTTCTGCGTTTTACCCACCCAGACTGGACATTTGTGAAAAAGAGCTTCCCAGCTCTTCTATTCATTACATCGGCACATTGCCATTGACAACCGGTTGGGGCAGGCCGCCTACAGGTCTGCCCTTATTGACATCCATAAGGGTTGCCAGCCATTATTAATATTCATAAGGGTTGCCCAGTCATTCTGAATATTCATAAGGGCTGCCAATCCTTATGAGTATTCGTAAGAGTTGCCCACCCTTATAAATAATCATAAGAGTTACAGACCATTATGCATATTCATAAGGGTTGCCCACCCTCATGAATATTCATAAGCGTTGCCGCCATTATAAATATTAATAAGGGCTGCCCACCCTTAAGAATATTCATGTTCCCCACCATTATGAATATTAATAATGGCGACCGATCCGTGCTACTTCATGCATATGCAATCATAAACGTGTTTTGGAGTTTAAATCGCGTAAATATAAATGTGTCATTAAACCCGCCACCACCTGACACAGCCAATTAGTAAGGTTTGTCACATAAACAAAATGTGACAATTACTTTACAAGTTCAGCACACTCGGTGTTGTTGGAGAGTCAACCCGCAACATTTACAATTCCGAGTTCGACGTTTCGCTGGCGATTACATCCATGCGGGTTTAACGACCCCCCCTCCCAAAAAAACCCCTATACAGTTTTATGAATAAATCTTGACTTAAAGCTTTCGTGACTGCAGGAATTAATATCTATCTACGTGACTTCACCGAAAGACCCAAATAATATACTATTATGGATAATATCGGTCGCGAAAGACAAACGTGTTCAACCGATTAATATATTTAAAAAAAATCCATTTATCTTGACAAAAAGCTTTCGTGACTGCAGGAATTCATGTTCATTGTGTCTTTCGGTAAAGCCACGCAATTAGAAAAAAAATAATCAAAATATCACGACGTTTCGATCGCAACACAAGCAATCGTCATCAGGTGGTGTTACATTAACAGGTTAAATGTCTTTAAATTAATAGGTGAAATGATTCACTAACACAGCCACCGTTGCTCGTTTTCCTCGATGTGGCGGTGGCTCTGCGATCTTACATTGACATGCTAATATCTCACGATACAATCGCCACCTCCGCAGCTTCGTCGTAGTGGAGGTAGCTCTCCGATTTACCCGATCTTACATTGACATGCAAATTTCATCACAAGCCCCGCCCACTTCGCTTATGACACCGTGGGCTACGCCCATCTCAAACCCTCCTACGTCAGCAGTCCTCCTGCTGTGTTTGTTTCACACCTGATGACGATTGCTTGTGTCGCGATCGAAATGTCGTGATATTTTGATTATTTTTCTATCTACGTGGCTTTACCAAATAACCCAATGAATATGAATCCATTCATCGTTCAGACCAAAAAGCCGGATTGGACGCTTTGGCGCGGTCACGTGCTAACACAACGTCGCTTTTGTTTGGGCGCCATCTTAGGTAGGGGGTAACAAAAAAACCGCTTCCCCCACCCACCAACACCCATCCAGCCCCCACCACCTGCACCCCACCCACCCCCGGGCGCCTCGCGCTCGACCGTTTTGCATGGTCGATGACGTCACTAAGCCGCCAACCATGCCCCACCCCCCACCCACACACCCTCGCCTCACACACAAACAACTTACCCAACATGGCGCCGAGACGGCTTCACTTGCCCTCCCCCACCACCGTCGTCGCCCTCGCCCTCCCCCCCCTCACCCTCCAACCGTTCCCCCTCCGCTCGCCTTCGTCAGCGATGGCGGCTGCGGGTGGCGGCGTAATGGGAAGCGGCGACGGCTTTTACTTTAACACCGTGCTCAGCCTGGCGCGCTCCCTGGCCGCTCAGAACCCGGCGCCTCTCGATAAGGTTCGTCTTAAAGGGAGACCGCCCGCCCCCCCCCCCGGTTCGCTGACATCCTCACGGTCCGTGCTCGTACGTTGACAGCGTGGAGGTGAATGTGGGAGCCACGGTGCGGGTTGACGGCATCATCCATTGGTGGTTGTCCAAGCCAGGCGACACAAACGCTGAGGGGAACATCTTGGCCAGGCTTGACCGCGGTTTATTTTTTGTGTTTGTTTGTTAAACGGCAGCGGCTATTTATGTCACGTCCCTTTGGACATTATCAGCAGCGTTAACGTCAGTATCGCCATCGGCATTAATATCACCACCATGATCTGAATAAGCATTGCCGTCGTCAACTTAAATGTCGCCACGAATGTCATCATTAACATCAACGTGTGTGTGTATATATATCTCATTGTCGCCAGGTGCGAAATAAGTTAAAACATACGTCTCTCGTTGAAAGTATATCGACGTAAACATCGTCGTGACTTAGAACCTGCATCACCTCCAGCGGCACAGTGGCCCCCCCCATCTCCGTCGTCAGCGTCATGAATATTAAACTCACACCTTCGTTATCATTCGCATTACTCTTTTCATCATCTTGATCATCGTCCTCAATGTCCACGTTGGGTTCACCGTCATCACAGCGATTGGCTCAAGTGGCTGTACAAAGAAACCGCACAATGAATGATGCTGCGTCTCTTGATGCAGGAAACGCGCATGGCACTGGTCATATGCATATGCTGGGCCCTGCTCGGATAAAATAAATTGAAATTTATTTACGGAAGTGTCAATCCACTGCTGGATGAGGGTCTCGTGGATTTGACATAAGGGGCCGGCGATGAATGACGTCACGCACCTAGCGGGGGGGGGGCGATGTGTGACGAGGGTTTGAGAAATGTGACGTCACATCAAAATGCGCAACTTTAAATAAATATAGAATTGTTATAACAACACTAATTGTTATAACAACACTCCTACACCATCAGAGTGCAGCGCCACATTAAATACGCACTACAATGACAATAGTTTAAAGCGATTTGAAGCATTTGCTTAGCTCTTTCGGTAAAGTCACGTTGAAGGGAAACAATAAAGTAATAAAATATATATAAAACAATAAAAATTCTCACGACGTTTCGACCATAACACAAACGGTCGTCATCAGGTGTGTCGGTTTGCATAAATTTATTTATTTTTAAAGGGTTTATTTATTTATAAAAAACCGTCAGCGCCACGCGCAGCGATTTGGCAGTTTATTTAGAAGGACTAGTCCATCTATGTTCTGAAAAGAGGAGGGGGGGGAGACGAAAAATTAATGTATGCTGTCTGAAAGCCACCGTAAGCGTGAACAATCAATTAAGACCTGAAATGGTTTATCAAATCTTTCCAATGATTGCTAAGCCAGAATCCATCTCGGTTGAAATTGTCTCTGTGCTTGTATATGTGGATAGCCTCATGAACGAATCTCTCATGGAAGCCAGATGGCTTGCAAAGAACCTCTGTCTTGGAAAAGTCAATGTCATGTGAGCCTACTGAATTATAACAATGATCTGCCACGGCCGAGGTGTTGGTCCTACCGTGCTTAAGGTCTGCTTTGTGTTCACGAATGCGGTCCGAGACATGGCGTTTGGTTTCTCCAATGTAACTACTACCACAGAGGCAACTTAGTTTGTAGACACCAGTGTACTGTATGTCCGGAATCACATCTTTTACAGACGGAACCAGATCACGGATTTTATGTAATGTGTTGAAACGGACCTGGATGTTGTGTTTATTCAAGATTTTGGAGATCTTTTTTGTGATCCCCGCAATGTAGGGTAAAGTGATGGTTTTGAAAGGCTCCTCAAGGCTATCCACATATACAAGCACAGAGACAATTTCAACCGAGAAGATGGATTCTGGCTTAGCAATCATTGGAAAGATTTGATAAACCATTTCAGGTCTTAATTGATTGTTCACGCTTACAGTGGCTTTCAGACAGCATACATTATAAAAATTTCGTCTCCCCCCTCCTTTTCAGAATATAGATGGACTAGTCCTAAATAAACTGCCAAATCGTTGCGCGTGGTGCTAACGTTTTTATAAATAAATAAATGCGCCGTTTAAAAATAAATTTATGCAAACCAACACACCTGAAGACGACCGTTTGAGTTATGGTCGAAACGTCGTGAGAATTTTTTATTGTTTTATATATATTTTATTATTTTGTTGTTTCCCTTCAACGTGACTTTACCGAAAGAGCTAAGAATATGAATTACTGCAGTCACGAAAGCTTTAAATCAAGATTTGAAGCATGTTTTTTTTTCAAAATGGGGATATGGTTTTGGAGGGGGGGCGGCATTACTTTGTGACGTCATATTTGAGGGAGAGGGGTCTGACTTTTTGTGACGCCGTGTGATGAGGGGGCGGGTCAAAAATTGTCCAAAATCGCGTGACGTCATTTATGGATGGCCCCTAATTTACCAGTGCGGGTTTGTGATGGTGAGGCCCAGGTGTAGTTCACGTACCCCTAGCCACTAAGATTATCCATAGCCAGGAATTGAACTTTAGGTTGGTGGATTCATAGTGCAGTGTGCTAACCACAATGCCAGAGCTACAAACTGTCAGAGGAATGTGCAGTTTCCCCCCCTAAAGACTCTGGATCATCAAAAATTAATCAGAAACACAGGTCCCCAAACATATTCTGAGAATGTGAACGCTTTTCCGATTGTCCCACATGGTGCTTAGTGTTTGAAAACTGAATTGGCCCATGTATCTAGTTTCCTAAGCAAGAGGTATTTTTTTTTATTTAAAGCTTTCGTGACTGCAGGGATTCATGTTCTTGGTTCTTTCGGTAAGTCACGTAGAAGGGAAACAATAAAATAATAAAAATATAAACAATAAAATGATGACGACGTTTTGACCGCAACACAAGCAATCATCATCAGGTGTTGTTTTCACACTTTAGGTTGCGGTTTTCACACCTGATGATGATTGCTTGTGTTGCAGTCGAAACGTCGTGAGAATTTTATTGTTTTATATTTTTATTATTTTATTGTTTCCCTTCTACGTGACTTTACCGAAAGAACCAAGAATAAGAGGTATTTTATTGAACTGACCTATTTGGTGTGGAGCCTTGATAATGCTATATATACTGTACAGTATTTTGATCCTTAGTACCATGGGTCTTGATTATAGTGATAACATTACTATACAAAAACATTAAATGGCCAAACTTGTGAATCAATAATCTACCTGTACATGAGTTATTACAAGTTATTATGTACAGTATATCAATCATATCTTTAATTATCTTTATTTCTACACCAGTGTGATGTCCTTCCTGAGATGGATGGATCAGCAGACATGCTTAGATTATTCTGGTATTAAGAGAATGTATGAAATTACACTATTATAATTTGGTAAATATCACACATGCCTATGAAATATTTATCATTCAAAGCAAAGTCGGACTGAAAGGACTTAAATGTATTGCAACTATTTATATAATCAAAATCCATTGTGTTTCATTATGTACTTTAGATGTATCATTAACCTGCATGCACATTAAATTATAATTTATATTGTGGGATTCTTAGGAAAATTAAAGACACTAACAAACAATATTTTGGAATTGCCCTCTGAACATTGTCTGTTTCATGTGCAGTGTTATAATGTTTTCATCATTTTCATTATTGGAAGACAGTGACTTCCGTGAATCCAAAATAATACTTTAGCAATAGAAATTGTGAATATTCGGTATCACGACTGTGCAATATGCACTGCACTTAACAGACTTTCACATTTTATCGTATGGCTTTGTACGGTCTACAGTGCTTATGGATGTGCTGGTGTTGTTTTACATGTTCAGGTGCAAAAGGTGCTGGGCATGTGCCCATTGGATCAACAAGGGGTATGCCAGCTGGACCACCGGAGGAGGGATGCTGTCATAGCACTTGGGATATTTCTCTTGGAATCGGGTTTGCAGGTACAATAATCAGGCTTTCCTTCCGTCATCTTTTAGAGAGGATGGGGATGAATTAGATCTTTCCACCTCTTACTGTCTTGCTTTATGCTTTCTTTTAGTTGTCACCCTCTTAATTAAACATCACGCTTTACTGTGTTCACTCAGTTCATCTTTGGTCTTCCTCTGTTTCGCGTGCTTGTCTGTGTCATGTATTGTTCCGTATTATTTCCAGATCTGTTCAAGACGTGTCCAAATAACCGGAGGAGTCTCTTGAATCTTGACTATAAGTGTGATCATGTTATTACTTCATTTCTCATTTTCTGTAGTCTAGACACTCAATGTTTTTAATTACCTCATTTTTGTATTCTTAGCTCTTTTGGTAAAGTCACGTTGAAGGGAAACAATAAAATATATATAAAACAATAAAAAATTCTCACGTCGTTTCAACCGTTTGTGTTATGGTCGAAACGTCGTGAGAATTTTTTTTATTGCTTTATATATATTTTATTATTTTATTGTTTCCCTTCAACGTGACTTTACCGAAAGAGCTAAGAATATGAATTACTGCAGTCACGAAAGCTTTAAATCAAAATAAAAACTCATTTTTGTAGTTATTATTTTCAGGCGTACAGGTACAAATCATTACAAGGGGCTGTTGAAATGTTTTACTTTCAGTCTTGATATCTTATTTTTTTTTATCACAGCACAAAGAACACTTGGTTCCTTACCTACTGCAGCTGCTGAAAATGCTTCCTAATGTCCAATGGATTGAAGACTATGTTGGGAAGCGTGACAGAGGTGAACACTACATATATTTTAAACACATGATATCACGGAGCTCGCGGTGGTCACTGAAATTGTAAATATGAATAAAAGCTGTGAAATCTTGTAAATTACTATATGCGGGGAGTGGCCACCAACCCACCCTGACCTTTCTGTGCTTTGTGTTTTTTTTTCTGCGCATTGGCGGTGAAGTTTACCATTAATTACCATGCCAAAATCGTATTAAAAATAATAACTGTTCGCCATGAATTAGGCCAGTGTTTTAGTGATGAGCCATTTGGTTTCATGATGCCAATGGACTCGCTAATGTTGCACTGTAACTTCTGCCATTACAGAGAGGCTGCCCGTGGCGGAGTCATTTAGCTTTTGTTTGGTGACGCTCCTCTCTGATGTTGCTCAGAGAGATCCGCTCATTCGAGAGCAGGTGACAATTGATTGAGACGTTCCTGTAATATGTCGTGTCATTTCGTGAAACAATATAATTGCCTTATACATTTACTAATAGTCAAAAGTGGTTCAGTGAATCTGAATATTTTGATAGCCTCCTTAATTGTATGTCATTGCCCAATTCGCGTTGCTCTGAATAACCTGGTACGGTAATTGCTGTCGGTATGTTACTCGTGAATGCTATGTATTTCTGTAGCCAAAGCTTGATGGAGTACCGTAATTGTTCAAAAGTCAGCAATTGTTCAATTGCCAGTATGGAAATTTTATGTATCCTTAAAATTAATAAGAAGGTAGATTATTTGGATGATAGGGTATGCTATTCATTTAATCACAGTAATACAATGTCATGTATATCTAAACTATTGTGTAAATGTTTGGTAAAGTACATTTTTTTAGTTTATTTATTTAGTCACGTAGGTAGAAAAAGTAATAGATCACAACGTTTCGATCGCCGCACAAGCAGTCGTCTTCAGGTGAAAAAAAGAGGGGGAAATATACTGAGGCAGGCTGTTTATAAAGGTTAAAGATGGGCGGGGCAGCTAACGTTAAATGTAAGCTCGGCGCGGGCCGAGCTCGCCTAGGGTCCGGAAATTTGCTTGTAAATGTAAGCTTGGCGAGGGCCGAGTTCGGTGAAGGCCCGGAAATTTGGAAGTCGGCTAATATTGGCAGGTAGGAAGGGAACATCAAAGCAGTTTAAACTTTACCTGGTTGATCACGTCCTTCCAATGATTGCTTAATTTGTATCCATCTTCTCAGTTGAAGTTATGTCTGTGTTTATAAATCTGGATGGCTTCATGGACAAATCTTTGATGGTAGCCCGAAGGTTTGCAGAGTACCTTGGTCTCGGAAAAGACAATATCGTGTGAGCCCACCACGTTCAAACAGTGAGCAGCCACGGCAGAGGTATTGGTTCTGCCGTATTTCAAATCTGCCTTGTGTTCGCGAACACGGTCCGAGACATGTCGTTTCGTTTCCCCAATGTAACCGCTACCGCAGACACAACTTAGTCTGTAGACACCAGGGTATTGCATGTCAGGAATCACATTTATCACAGATGGGATCAAATCACGGATTTTGTGTACTGTGTTGAATCGAACCTGGATCTTGTGTTTGTTCAAAGTTTTTGAAATCTTTTTGGTAACCCCTGCTATTTTTCGATTTAAAGCTTTCGTGACTGCAGGGATTCATTTTCTTGGTTCTTTCGGTAAAGTCAAGAATATGAACCCCTGCTATGTATGACAAGATGATGGTTTTGATTGGGTCCTCAGATGGTTATCTCCCTATGGTTGGGGATACAGCTTTTGCGGATTGTGCGATCCGAATATCCATTCATCTTGAGGGCTTGGTGTACGTGCTGCAGTTCACTGGATAGGTGGTGCTGGTCGGAGATGCAACAGGCCCTATGGTGTAGTGTTTGGATGAGGGAATTCTTTTGGGCTGGATGGTGGTGAGAATCAGGCTTTAGATAGGAATCTGTGTGGGTGGCTTTCTGTAGATAGTATTTCAATGAGCCATCAGGTCCCTTCTCGATCAAAACATCCAGGAATGGTAGCTTCCCATCATTTTCCGCTTCCATGTTGAATTTGATGGATGGGTGTATGGAATTGATGTGGTTGAAAAATTGGTTCAGTGCTGGCAGGCCATGTGGCCAGATGACGAATGTGTCATCTACGTATCTCTTCCACAAGGAAGGACGTAGGGTGGATGTCTGGATGGCATCTGTCTCAAATTTCTCCATGAAAACATTTGCTACCACTGGCGATAAGGGAGAACTCATTGGGGTACCCTCATTTTGTTTGTAGAATGTACCATTCCAGGTAAAGTAAGTGTTGGTAAGGCAATCCCTCACCAAAGTTCGTGCATCAGGATTCAGTCCCTGTTGGACCAAGTCTTCAATGATTGCAATGGTGTCAGGTACAGCGACCTTGGTGAACAGCGAGACTACATCGAAACTGACAAGCAAATTATCTGGAGACAGTGAGATGTCCTTGATTAGAGAAACCAAGTGAGCTGATATTTACATTTTAAGACCTCCTTTGCCAGTAACAAGATATAGTAATAGGTTTTACCCTTTTAACTGGCACAAAAACTGACACCTTTATTCAAGGCATCATGTTTGCAATAACCACAACACAAGCAGTCAAAATGCAAACAAAAGAATACGCCAAAAGGCCTTTTGGCGTCTTCTGGTCCAACACCAGTGGAGACTCGGCTCTAAGAAAAGTCGTCTCGGGTGTGGACCAATCAAATTCAAGGACAGTGCAAATGATTATCAGAGTTGTCTCTTTTGTTTGCATTTTGACTGCTTGTGTTGTGGTTATTGCAAACATGATGCCTTGAATAAAGGTGTCAGTTTTTGTGCCAGTTAAAAGGGTAAAACCTATTACTACAAGTGAGCTGAGTTAAGTACAGCTGAGGTGGTCTTGCCTGTGAAAGGAAGCAGCGTCTGAGACAGAAATTGGGCCAGATTGTAGGTGGGCGAGTTAATGGTGGAGACGATAGGACGGAGCGGAGTACCTTCTTTATGGATTTTTGGAAGGCTATAAACTCTGGGTGGTCTAGCAGCCGAAGGTTTTAGAGAGAGCTGCTTGGTCGGTTCGATTAGAGAAGTCAAATTAGTGATGATATTGTTGGTTTTCGTAGCCAGGCAGTTGGTAGGATCTCTATTGATTTTGGTATAGCTGCCATCATTAAGAAGGTTCTGAATTTTGTTGTTGTAAGTGGTTTTATCCATAATGACAGTGGCATTGCCCTTGTCGGCTGAGAGGATGACAATTTACATTTACAAGCAAATATCCGGACCCGTAGCCGAGCTCGGCCTTTGCCGAGTTTACATTTATCATTAGCTGCGCCGACCATCTCTAAACCTTTATAAACAGCCTGCCTCAGCATATTTCTCCCTCTTTTTTTCACCTGAAGATGATTGCTTGTGTTGCGGTCGAAACGTCGTGATGTATTATTTTTTCTACCTACGTGACATTACCGAAAGAACCAAAGAGTATGGATTCCTGCAGTCACGAAAGCTTAAAATCAAGATTATTTATCTTCAGCAAATTTTTAATCTGTACAGATTTAAAGTATTAATTAATACAATTGTAGACACTGGCAATTTTTTTTGCGTATATCATAAATATTTAACCTTTTACTGCATTTAAATGTAATTACTCTACTAAAATAATCTATTGAAATGATTGGCAATGTATATTTTGAATGTTCTGTGATTACTCTTTTAACATGTTTATCATTTTAGATTCTGGAAGCATTACTTGATACCTTGCAAGAATTACTTCAAATTTGTGAGGATCCCCATAATGACAGAGGTGTGTTACTTTTTTAGCCTTCCATTTTGATGTAATAGTTTGTGAATTAAATAGAATATATGGTTCATGGTTCTTGGTAGGTTGTTGCAGTTGTGCTGCGTAACTCTCAGCATGTGGAGTTAAACGTCGGACATCATGCTGAATAGCACATGGTTATAATTTGAAAGAAAAACATCAGAGAGATCATTTTTTGCATGATTTTTTTTTATGGAATGATAGTAATGTGTTGTACATGTCCTTTTTTTTCCAGATGTCTGCCAGTATTCAGTGCCTTGCCTTATTGGCATGTCACGAGCATTTGGCCGTTACAGCAATGAAGATGATTCACTTCTTTCGAGGCTATTCCCGAAAGTGACCTTGCAATCGGTAACATAAATTTTATTTCCAACGCATCTGAGCTTGTTTCACAATTCTGTAGCAATAAATCTCAAATAAAACTATTGGACAGCCACATTACATAGCATGTACCATATCGCAAAAGGAAAGTTTGGTGATTCAGTGCCTGCAATTTGAATGACTCGTAGCGAATTAAAACCCAGTTCTAGATTTAAAGCTTTCGTGTCTCTGACCAAATTCGCGAGCACAAATCAGATTTGAAACACGGCAGAACGAATTCTTCTGCCGTAGCTGATCACTGTTACAACACTGTGGGTCATCACGATATAATTTTCTCCGATACCAAGGTTCTTTGCAAACCCACGGGTTTTTATCAGAGATTTGTTCACGAGGCAATTCAGATTTACAAACACAGACACAATTTCAACCGAGAGGATGGTTTCAAATTAAGCAACCATTGGAAAGATCTTCTGAAGCAAACCAAACATTAAACTAATTTTCAATGGTACAGTATATTTTTTCAAGTAGTGGTATCCCAAACTTTCGCAGCTGCTTAAATTCCCTTTTCACACCATCAATATGTAAACTCCCCCCTCCCCTCCCCCCTCGCCGACCTGCACATGTTCACCCCCTCTACACCGTTGATCATACTAAGTCTGCCAATTAAATGCTAATTTTTATGCTAATTCCTTTGTCAAGGTGCTCTGTTTCTTCTCACACAGCTTAAAGGTCGTGGTCTGAGCTTGGATGCTGTGTTCACTCCAGCGCTGTTTTCTAGACAGTCTGGTCCCTTCACCTGATGAAGGCCACTTGTGTTGTGGCCGAAACGTCGTGATTTTTGTTGTTTTATTTTTTACCTACGTGACTTTACCGAATAAAACCCAGTTAATCGATAGCTAATTTGTTCCTGCAGGTGGCACAAACAACAGATCCAGATGCTATTCGGAGGAGATCTTTCCACGATTTCCGCTCCATCATGCCCTCATCATTGATGCAAGCCTGTGGGCCAAGTGATAGCCTCCGACGAAATGTAAATAGCGTCGCCAGCTTTGCGCAGGTGAGTAAAAAATTTGATAACATAGTGTTTATATAATTGACACCTAGATTTCACACATTGATTTCAATAAAATTGTCAAATTATGCTGTTCAGTTACACATTTACAGTTGTGAATTCATTTGAAAACTGAGTGAGCAATTGATTTAGATTAAGCGGCAGGTGCTGCCGTTCATTAATGCATGTTTACCTTAAAAAAATAAGGAACGCTGTACGAATGAACTATAGTAAATGGTATGCTAATTTTTATAATTAATATATTTCATTTTTTTACATTTTAACATTGTGAAAATGTAATTTTCTTTTTTAATTAACGATTCTATGTTGGCTCTGGTTTTTTTTGTCAGTTTCAACTAAGTCCAGAAAAGGGTGGCAGTCAGATGCCAAGTTCCCCAGGCTATGCCACACTACAGTACTGGGAAGGTATGTTTTCATCCGTATTACTGTATTTACTTGTAGTGTGCTGATTGATCAATTATAGTTTTGTTCTTACACTTATCACAACGTACGAAAATGCATTTCTGTAGGAATTTATTATTTTTCTGAAAATTGTACGTAAATGTTTTACGTAACCCCTGCTGTCATGTTAAGCTGTTATAGTCACAATAATTTTTTTCATTATTATTTAAACATTTGTATTTAAAATAATTAATGCTTCATTGTATTCTTAAAAAGCATTTTCACAAACCTGTATCTTAGATAATGACATGTTCTTTAAATGTATTTCAAATATCTTTAGTTTCTAAAGTTACTGTGGTAAATAATACGATCTCTTGAATTGCTGCTTCTCTAATCTCTTTACAGGTGCGTCATATAATGATGCGCCAGTGAATGACCCGGACTTTTACTTCACCGTCCTAAGTTCTAGCTTCTCCACATCGCCTCTCAACACAAAAGACACCTGCCAACAAATGGACACTCCTATTCTACTGCTAAAGAGACTTTTGGACATGGTCTGTGTATTTAAAAATTCACGTTTGTACCCAAGGATTATGGTTCATACCAACTAATAATCCAGAAAATACATGTTTGCCGTTGTCTAGCATGCAAATAAAGCAGAGAAGATACAATTATGCATTCATTATACAGTAATAGGTAACTGATCTGTGCTATTTTGAAATCTCTTAGTTAAATGGGAATATATTGAGATAGATTTACCGTTTTCATCCAATTCTAAGACACTCAGTAAAGTGAGAGCACCTAAAACTTGTGACCAGTGTTAAAGTTATTCAAATTTGGTTACACAATAGATTATAATACGCACCTCCATACTTTGCTTTGAAATACAGAGGTAAAAAATGTATCATATAATCCAGAGCATATCGTCTCATCTGTAACCTTATGGATCCACTTACAGAAGAATGGTTATATGAAAGAAATAGCATTCTGTATTGCAGTAATTTCTGGTAAGATAGAATATTTCAAATAAATTTCGACATTTTCTAATTATTAATTGTGTGTGTTCGCAGGTAAAACGCTTGGTAAATGACAACATGCTCAGAACTCTGGACAAGATTTTACTTGAAACAATTGATGTAGGTATTCATTTATATTGAAACACAAATTATTTCATTTTACTCTGTGGACAAAGATAAGTTAATATATTCTTGTATTGATGTATAATGTGAAATAAATGTTGGGTTATATACTTGTCAATATACATTTACAAAGTGGTAGTTATCGCACACTAATTTTAAACTTGTTATAATGTGGCATAAAGTTGTCAAGACTGTTTTTAGACATTTAAACCAGAAACATTGCATTACACTTCTGGCTTTTTTAATGTAATCAAATGACCGTACAACATTTTTATTGGTAATTTTCCATTTTTCCATTTATTGCAGTGTAACCCATCAACATACCTTTACTACAGAAACTTCAGTAACATCCTTTATGTAGCAGCTTTCAAGATGCTCAGGGACACCCTTTTAAACTGTTTGAAAGGTAGGAACTGTGTATGTTATGCGGCGGTGACAATATGATTGCGTTATCACACTTTGCCAATTCACAGCTGCATAGAGGTTACTCTACGTAACGCCTTATATGTCATGGGGGTTTGTTCCTTATGTGAGTCAGTGCAGGTTGGTAAATGTGGCTTCCAGGACCATTTCAGATATTGCCCATTCTATAAAATAAATTAACTCAGATTCACAAGTTCACACTGTAGTGTGCTTACTACTGCACGACTACCACCCACTGATACTACCATGTTATTTTGTACAGCTTTCTGAAAGTGCTTTATTTCTCCATCTACTATGACTTTTGTAATGCTACTAGGACACTAGGTATTTTCATTGAGTTTTGGTCAAGGTTTGTAAGATATTCAGAATGTAACAAGGGTGGTAAAGGTGCATCACTGCAATTGCTTGCCACTTTTGATGGAAAGGCCTCCACGAAAGGGAATTCTAGAGAACCCCTTTAGAGGGTATGTGGCATTCTCTTTCAAGCTGGCCAAATGTCTTAACTTGAGCCAGCTCTGATCATTGTCCCAGCCACCTCACCACATGTGACCTACCGATCACCAAACTATATTGAGGATGACGTAAAGAATATTCTTGGATGAAAATTTCAGTTTTGTAGTATTGTATTTTTCATGGGAGTTTAATTGTAAATTATTTTATGAATGTTTTTCAAGCTTATTTTTTTCTTTTCACAGATCTGCCTTCAGTATTTGTGAAGGAGGTACATGACTTTGTTTTGGAGCAATTCAACAGCAGCCAAGCAGAGTTGCAGCGAATGCTGCACGATGCCGATCGGCCTCATGGGGAGTCGAGCTCACTCAAGCTCCGCTGCCAGGCAAATGCTGCCTGTGTGGACCTTATGGTGTGGGCGGCTAAAGATGAACAAGGTACACGCAGCAGGACTTATTTACAGCCCTTAGTCAATCCACTGATGCGTGAAGGCCTCCCTAGGCTGTGTCAGTCAGGGCAGTTGTTTGAGATTTTATGTTACCATGCCGGTCAGTGTAAGTGGGTGAAGGGAGTTGTTCAGGACCAGATATCAGTCACCACTTATGTTAGCCATGGCTGGGCATCAAGCTCATGTGGCGAGGTTAATACTGCAGTGCACAAACCACTGTTGCTGCTTCACTCCCATACAGCGGCAGGATGTTGCTTTTTCAAAAGAATGGGTATTCAATAAGATTTGGCCCTGTAGGTGATAGTTTTTTCATTGGGCCAAAAATGTGTGAAATGAGTCGACCGATTATGTAAGTGTCACCCTTTGCAGATTTCAGTTTAAACTGGTCTCATGCAGTAAATGAGGTCATACAATGACTGCAGGGATGGACACTATTTTTAAAGATATGGATAATAGAATTTTTGATCATTGTTTTAGAGAATTGGTTTTCAATTCCAGTAATCATAGAATCGATCATTACTTTTGTAAAACAACTTAAAAAGCATTGCTAAGTTGATAGGAATGCTAAATGACTGAAATTTAACTTAACCTATTTCAGATATCTATCAATGTACACTTGTTGATGTTATTTTTTTTGTCATCAGATGCTTTTACTGTCATTGAGGTAACATATGTACGGGGGGCCTATTTTTTGTAAAAGAATGACACTTAGGCCCATATTCTTAGTCAGGGCTCGACTCCTGCTTGGCTCTGGCTCAAATGGGTGAAACCTGTGCTGAGCCACTTGAGCGGCCACGTCAGAGCCAAGGTGCGACTTAGAATACAGCCCGAAAGCTTACCAAATGTGTGGTTATGCTAATTCTTCCTTGTAGTCATTTTATAAATGCATTGTTACTACTGCTCATGTTTTCATAGTTGATTTGTATTTCTTTCTGTCGCTTTTTGTTGGGTTGTACTTTGTGTTGTTCGACGTTCATGCCCAATGTTGTTTGCTCCAGTATGCTGGGAGCTTATTGAATTCAGAAACACACGGGTACGGTCTGAAAAAAAACGTCTGAAAGTTCAAAATTGTTTTGGGGTAAGTTTTCAGTAAAGTAACAAGAATGAGTTTGTATCAACGTGAAATATCGATTTTGAAAACTTTCAATCTTTCTTCAGGCGCTGAGACCCTTTGTGTCAAGTTGTCTGAGAAATTACAGACAAAAACATCCAGCAAAGTGATTGTGGCACACATGCCTCTGTTGATCTGCTGTCTGCAGGTATGGTCTTTTAGGAGGAAAATTGTGAAAAAACGTCTATGTTCTTCGATTTCATTTAAAAAACACGACACATGCTCAACGCCATAAAGAACTTTTGTAGACTTATTAATTACTCTACAAAGTTGCACTGACACATAATATGTACATCAGTATGCCTCTAGCATGTGTGTTAAATGTGGTAATGTTTTAGCATTCCCGACAGACACTAAGGATAGCTCACCGATGCGCTGTTAGATTGTACACCATATTTGGTATGAGGTCCGACGTTTTGCTCCTCATGCTGATGATATACATTGCGTATAACATATAATGTAGAATATTTAACATATATTATGAATTAGCCCCCCAGGACGTGGGCCACAAAAAAAACTACGTACAACCTGGAAACATATCGGGAGGCTGTACAGTACGCAGATGAATTTATGTTTTATATTTTAACACACCCTATGTGCTTGCGGATCATTAGGGCTTAGGAAGGCTCTGTGAGCGCTTCCCATCTGTGTCCAACTCCGTGACTGTGTGTCTGCGGGACTTCCTTGTTGTTCCGTCCCCCGTGCTGCTCAAACTCTACAAGCTCCACTGCCAGTTCCAGAGTGGTAAGGAGATGGGTAAGCCATAATAACTTATTGAATTATTGCCTCATGTGTTAGGGAGAGTCTAGCTTCAAAGGGCCATAGAAAAGCATAAAAGCATGCATCTTGTGTTGCGGGAGAATTTAATTGTAATAAACCTAATCGTAAATGCCATAGATTTTGTGTGTGCGTGTATTTATCACTTACCTTGATGCCATATTTTTAGGCTGCAGTGTGACACGGACTTAAAAGAAGCAAAGACAATTCCTATTCGTTGTAAATGCCTGTGTTTGTAATAACTGTATGTCATGCCTAATTGTTTTATTAGGAGGAAATGACATAAAGATCAGTGTGACGAATGAGTTTGCGGAATCCACTGTCAATGTTGTGGCCAGCAAGAAGATTCAGCCCTCGATGTATGAACAGCTGAGGGATATGGCTATTGACAACATATGCAGGCAAGTCATTGACAAAATATATAATTTTCTGTCAAACACTAAATCAAGAATTGTGGCTCTAGTCAAGCTATCCACAATAACTATTATACATTTTATTATAGTGCAAATGTATGATTGACAATCATCACAAACTAAACATGAATACTATGAACAACAACAAAAGCAGGTATGCAATCTGTATATAAGCCTTAATCGGCAACAACGGCTCATTCCAAATAAATGTAATTCCTACATTTTGTATGATATTACGCGTAATGCAATTATATTTTCAGAGCCCTCAAGGGTGGTCTTATCGAGGAGCCAGTGATTGTGGAAGCGTTTCTTGCTACACTCTCCAACCGTCTCTACACTTCTCAAGACAATGAAAAGTAAATCTGGTTTATGTGATTGGTATTAAAGTAATGTAAATCTATTTAAAGGAAATTCATTTTATTGCATAATAAGTAATATGCAGAGTTCATTGATGTGGGTTTGCCTCTTTGAGTATGCAGAATTTCAATGAGAATGTAAAATGATAATGCATTTAATACAGGAATGCCTTACTGAGTCTATAAAGACACCTTTTATGAGGCACTGCATTAGGAATTGTATTTATTTCAGGTAATGAGTGTTTGGCATGTGGAAAAGAAATAGGAGTATCTGGAGAAAACCCACACATACAATGGAGTAACACTCAACAATGCTCAGTATAGATAGTGAAGAATTCATTAATGTACTGCCATATTTTGGCATTACCAAAACTTACAGAACCTGGAATTTCCAGGCAGTCTCCAATCCTAATACTAACCAGGCCCAAACCTGCTTATTAATTCATTGTAATTTGAATGATTTGGTGATGTAGGCGAGTGATGAATGATAATGCTTGATGGTATTAATTAAAGGGATGACGATTATGTGGATAATAATGATGATGTTGATGCTGCTGCTGATGATGTATGTTGAAAACTATGGCTGATTTATGGTGTTAAATAATTTGTTATCGATGCAGATTTTGGTGTTGGTCGTAGGGCTAATGATGTTGGTACTGATAATGGACAATATTTTTATTCTTTAATAATAAAACAAGAAATATTAGCATGGGAAAACCTGCATTGTTCCAAAGTGCTTTGTGTCTGTTGGTGGTGTTTAGAGATGGTCAGCTGATTCACGAGCACACAATCCGTGCCTTGGGGCACATCGCTGTGTCTTTGCGTGACACCCCACGCACAATGGAATCCATCTTGCAGATTCTCCAGCAAAAGTTCTGCCAGCCGCCCTCCCCTCTTGATGTCCTCATCATTGACCAGCTGGGGTGCATGGTTATTACTGGCCCTGTGAGTGTCTATATCTCTAATTTCATCCATTTAATTAATTTGTGGAATTGGGTTGGATTTAATCTGCATTTGTTATATATGGCAATTTTTCGAACTCATGTGAAAGCTATATTTCCTCGTGCTAATCGGAGGTGTGGGAAACATTTCCACAAGTAAATGGCTTCAGCTCTTCAAAGTGTAAATAACAGTTAATTGGATAATGAAAGTTATATCAACTTCCGTGTGCATCATGCTATGAATATGTGTAGTGGATACAGTCACACTTAATGTTTGGCTTTAACTGAGTTTATTTCACCCCTCAGACAAAGAATTATTTATTTTAAACTCGATTATTATTTTTGTGCACTACGATGAGATGCTTAAACCCATTTTTTGTTTATTTATATTTCAGCAACACATCTACCAGGAAGTACTGAACCTTTTCCAACAGATCAGTGTAAAGGCCAGCTCTGTTGTTTATTCACAAGCCAAGGATATGAGAGACCATGGCTACAGGTTGGTGTACCACTCTTATGTGACGCTTTGCAGCCGGAGGCCAAGCTGGTATCGCTTTTTGGAACATTGATCTTATCTTACGACAGTGGTTTTGACCGTCAAGTGGAGCAGTGGCACAATGGTTAGCGCTTTGCGCTCCAAACCTGGTGAACCAAGTTCGATTTCCAGGCATGGTTAACATCGGTAGTGAATTATATCTGGACCATTTCTGGGCCTCTTTGCACCAACTCCCACTGACCAGTATGATGAAGACTGATCAAATAACACCCAACATGGGGAGGCCTTAATCCATTTGTGGATTGACATAGGACTATAAGTCATAATAGAAACCATCAGAACACCATTTTGAAAATAAATTGTTGTACTGTTGTTGCTCTGTGTTTAGATTTCATGCTTAATCTGTCATTGTTCCTGGTCATATAATGCTTAATGTAGAGTCAATATTGACCCCCCCCATTTAAGAGTTTTGGGGTGCACATAATAGCTGCAATAATATAAATTCCCTGTTGGTAGCAATTATAAGTTTAACAAAGTATTCTCCCAAGTGATTTAATGAAAGGTTACGATTAATTTCAGCAATCTACTATTTTTAGACATTGCGTTGAATTTAGCGGCCACATCAGCCCATGGCACATAACACATCCAAATCTTTGCATTCACTCTGTGCTTACGAATCAGTATGAATCGGTATGAATCCATGCATCGTTACAACACCCCTGGTTAATAGGTAAAGTGTGTGTGTGTGCTTTTTAACAAGGCATTGTTCTGTGGCGGTCATCAATGCACTGGCAAACATCGCGGCCAACCTGCAGGGGGAGCAGCTGGTCGATGAGCTGCTAGTCAATCTCCTGGAGCTTTTTGTGCAGCTGGGCCTGGAAGGAAAGCGCGCCAGCGAGAGGGCCAGCGAGAAAGGCCCTGCCCTAAAGGTACCACCAACAGCGGTGTATCTATAAAATACACAGGCGGTACAGTTGCACCAGTGCCCACTCTCCTACTATTTACTATTTTTTATTTCACCAAGTAAGGCGCACTCGGCTATATAGGTATTTTTTCCGAAGCGACCTGGCCACAAATGATAGCTCAGTAGAGTGGCTTATCATGTGGAAATGTAGAGCAGCCAAATACTCGAAATGCACGTTTATTCTAAATGTGGAAGGACAAACCAGAGGACCCATAGAAAAATCGATGCGACCACGGGGAGGACATGCAAACTCAAAATATACAGGTGTCAGGGTCAGGCTCGAATCCACGACCTCCTGTATACCACGCAAGGTAGTTAACATCTCGGGGAGGGGCCCAAGTTCCAGGCAAAGAAACATGGGGAAAGGTGGAAAGGAGGGGGGGGGGGTTTATTTAATTCCTGGCACCATTGCCCATGCCAGCCACACTACACCACTGACCGCCGGTACACATCCCCAAATGGCAATGCCAGCATGGGCCTTGGGTGGTTACAGCAACATGTGGAGGATCACATTATCTTTTTTTATGTCTTAGGTTTTTTTAATGGGTTGCATTAATACGCGATGGAGCAGTTGCGGCACAGTTGTTTGCACACCGTGGTATGAACCATGTGACCGGAGTTCAATTACCAGTCGTGGCTAACACCAGTGGCCGGTAATATCTGAACCAGTCTTAGATCCCTCTCGCTTCACCAACCTGCACTGGCTATCGTACAGAAGTATGGTCAAACAAACCACATAACCGACATGGCTATGGGGAGGCCTTCAAATATGTTTTTTTATGAGTACAACATGTGATCAAAACTCGCATTGCAAACAATTATAGATTTGTGATATTAATTAATATTGATATATTGTTAAATCACAACTTCAAATTAAGGCAAAACATGTTTACATTCATACCGTTTCATGTATAGCATTTTCAATCCTTCCATGTCATTGTTGAATGTTAAGTTATGATTTGCTGTCACGTGATATGGTTTTCAAAGATAAATGCTCTTGTTTTTATTAACAAAAGAGTCTTAGCGAACCATGCTGCAGAAGAGAAAATGCTAAATATAAAAAAGTAATACTCTTGTTATATCATCATCAGCCATGATCTATCTGCTGCAGGATGGAGGCCTTCCTCAACCCATTACCATGGATTCATGACTCCATATCATTAAATATAGCGTTAAAATATGTCATGTTTTGTTATGTTTTATTGTTTATACATTTATATTGAAATGCGGAAGGTTAATCATTTTAAAGTGTACATTTTAACCATAGGGTTATGAATGTGTTTGAGGCATAGTGGGTAGCTGGTTAAAATGTAACTCGGTATTATTTAAAAGGCCAGTAACTCTGCAAGAGATAAGTTTGTTTGTGACATTCCATCTGATAATGTTTCAAACAAAAATGAGATAACAAGGACCAAAGTGCATTTTTGGTGATAAGGCTGTAAATCAATCTATAATTGACATTTTGACAACGTTTCTCTATAGTTAAAATGTGGTTGATCCTTTTTTATAGTTTATATGCTTTCCGTAATAGGATATTGTTGTTGAAGTGATCGCATATGAGTAGGATATACTATTCAACTTCAATACAAAATATTAACTGGTGTTACCTATGCTGAGAATAAGTTAAAGTAAGAGAGGAAATATTTTTTTGATTTAAAGCTTTCGTGAGAATTTTATTGTTTTACATTTTTATTATTTTATTGTTTCCCTTCTACGTGACTTTACCGAAAGAACCAAGAATATGAGGAAATCTGTTTAAAATTAAATATTTATAGATTTTCGATGTTTGAGTATGTTGCTTTTTTAGAATCAAGCTTTTATTTGAAACCACTTGTAAATGCAATGAAATAAATATAATCATAAATGCTAAATTCATTTGTTCACAATTGTTTCTAAAAGCCTCAAGCATTAACGTTTGCCAAATGGGAAATTCATGTTTATTAATAATGAACGTGTGTGTTTACAGGCCTCAAGCAGCGCTGGAAATTTGGGAGTACTAATTCCAGTAATTGCTGTGGTAAGTACTAACATCTAATTCTTTATTATTAAATTATTGAAGTATATATATTACTTTAATTATCTCTACGACATCATAAAGATATTTCATGGAGAAATGGAATGGGATTATCATAATGAACAATAATATAATTTGTTACGACACTATCCTTTGCAAAGCATAATGGTAGACATTGACAGCATCTGAGTCACCACAGGACACTTTTATGTCAGTCTGGTCTGTACAATAAAACCCCAGATTGATTAAGTTAAATAAACACAGCACATTATTTTTATGAAATTCAAAGATCATTTTCTTTCACATTGAATGCAATACCACTGCCTAAAGGTAAATTAAATGCTTAATACACTGGATAAAAGTGAGATGGTATGGATGTGGTTTAAACTAATCCTCACTATGCGATACCTCTGACAGCGAATGCTTAAGTGATGCTGTCTGACATCGTGTCTTGTAACTCAAATAGCTCGCACAAAGTTCTTGTTTTATAGATTCAGCAGAGCTTTCCTTTGAAATAATGTTGTTTGGTTTGGCTCACTTGTAGAATAACATTGAAAATCCATCATGCGTTCTCTGCACTTTTTAGCTCTTATCTATACGTGCATACGGTTTTTTTTTTATTAAACCTTGTTCAGTTCTTAGCTGGGTTGGACACCTGGCCCAAGAAAAGCACACTCATGGTGTGATGCTCGTAGACAATGAAAACAAAGGGGCGGTCAGCAACGAAGCGGTTGTGGGATGTGAGCGGCGTGAAGCCAACTGTAGTGACGGCCGCTGCTTCGCTCCCCTCCTCATCAATCTTTATGAAGCCCTGGTGCTGGAACTGGTTTAAAAAAAAAGAAAAATGCACAGCTTAGCACCCTCTAAATGAGCGCAATGTAACGTTACATATCTTTCATGAAAGTTACATGTTTTTTTTTTATTGTTCATATATACCTATCATTAGCATGGTTGGTTACGTACGGTGCGAAAGAAGTTCAACATACATACACACACGTTTGGCACTGTGGTCAATCCAGTGCCAGATGAGAGCCCCTCCCCAAGCCATGCGAGTCATGGGGGTAATTTGCTCACATTTCTCCATGCTGTTGAGTGCGTGTTGGTGAGAGTGTGCAACATATATTAGGCATAATATAGTACAACAAAGGATTTTGCTGTAACACCCTCTGCTCACAATGGTGTTAGGCCCACAGCAACCTATAATACCGGTTTTATGAAAGGCAGTCACCATTCTAAGCCCTATCCAGGCTCAATCATGGTTGTCATCTGAGATCTGACTAGATCAGGCACATTCCAGGTAATTTGGCCAGAAACGTACTTGGACTCATATCTGCTATTTAGGTAAGAGCACCATACCGAGCTAACTTGCACATCCTTGGCACCAGTCATCCCAGACAGGTCTGCATTGGCTTGGAACAACTCGGTCACTCCCAGCTCTTTCAAGTTATTTTTGAGATTGTACTTCTGCTGCAAGTTGAATTTGGGAATGATGACATCCCGTGTTCTGCAAACAACCAAAGAAATAGTACATTGAGTACTCTGTTTGCTTTATATAATTCCGTTTGTACATCACAGCCTGGTATATAGGAATCATGCAGTGTTTGCAGGAAAAAATCCAGAAAAGTACAAAGCATACATTGCATGATTTTTTTTTTCTCGGCACACATCATTTCATTTTGATTAAAGAATAAAGGATTTTTATGGCGCCGGCACAGAATTAAAATCACTTGCTTACCTGTTAGTCATTGCTTGGAGCCACTTCTCTAGGAGATCAAAGGAGAGGGCACGTTCCAGTGTTTTGAGGCCACCCTTCAGCTTGTGTGGTACTGCCAAAATCATGCTCACATTGCCCTGGTACGCAAGCTGGAGGATATCACAGCCCAGCTCATGGTCCGTGGTAACCAAAAAGCTCGCCTTGGTTTGCATCATTTGAACCTTGACGGTCTCTTTGTCGTTCAACCGAAATGACCGCACAGAGGTCTGATGTTTTGAGAACTTAATCTCCCATGGCCCTGGAAAATACAGATTTGAATCATTTTTAACTTAAAATTTTCCCAAATAATATTTTTATGGTTAAGAAAAGTATGTGGGCTTGGGCAGCACATGTCGCTAAAATAATTATGGCCAGTGGTAAAGACCTTTCTCGGAGTAGCAGTCAAAGGAGGGAAAGAACCACGTGGCCAAGAGAACGGCCACCGTGGAGATGGAGCAATGATATCGGGACGTAATGGTGCTTAGATGGTTGTTTGCACTGCATCTGCGAGGGATGGCGATGGCTTGCAAAAGCCTCCATCCTGCAGTCTAATAATCGTGGCTGATGTTGATCATGATGATATATATGTATGTTGAACTTCTTTTGCGCCGTACATAGCCAACAGTGTTAATCGGAGGTGCGGGGGAAGGACAACAAACAAAACACGAAGAGTATTGCTAGGTATTCAAATGTACACTACTGTACCTTTAAAATACACGCTGTTGATGACTAGGAATACGGTGCTCGGATCAATGTTGGTCACCGCATCGGATATTGTCCCCTTGGTGGCACTTGACACCCAGCGATTGATACGCTGCACTGTTGCAGGGTCTTTAAAGTCAACAGTGTGAGCCTCTGCAAAGTATGTCTTCCGGAGGCATTGTTGGTAGGATGGCAGGAGAGGCCACCTGCGTTGTAAATATAGGGCACTTGCCGACTTGAGCGTGTAGCCAAAGTTGTGGCGAAAAAGGCGGTGATTCAGCCGGTGAAAGAGTTTGTGCACGGTCGAAATGTTGTACTTGGAGCTAGAATCTACCAGGCTCTGTAAACAAAAACAAATCAACAGCATACAGATGTATTTCTTATTTTAAAATTTGATCTTTATATATATAAAATGGTATATTAGTGATGTGTACGCTGTCACGGCTGAGGCTCTGGCTGACGTTTAATCTTAATCTAATTGCTATTGTGTTATGCCACCCAATATCTGGTGTATATGAATCCCTGAGTAAATGATATACTAATATTAAGATAAAATATTAATAATGTACATCGAGTCATGTAAAATAAATAGTATCTCTAGTATGCTGCAGAAACTCGTGTATGCTCTCGAATGGACTGCTTGTGCAAGCTTATGTTTATGTTTAAATCTTGCCTTATGTCACTAAAATCTATTGTTATTGTTCATTTGTTGAACGTCGTCATTGATGTGTAGCCTGCACCAATGTGCTGGGTAAAATTTCACTTTACCTCGAACCCTAAGGCTTTGTAGATTTCCTTGTGTGTGCCTCCATTTGCGCCAAGCGCTATCATGCCCAAGGTAGAGGAGATGCCCAGAGGAGCCAGAAGGAGGTTCTCCCCAGGTGGGGTGGACTCGCTTACGGATCGGTACAGATTGAATGCGAAGTCGCTGTTGACAATGGAGAGTCGCTGGATTCGCGTTTTCCCCTGGAATCTTCTCAGGAATAACTTTTTATTGAATGATGCATCCACTAGCTGTGGGATGTTAAGTAAGTCTTCAGGAATGTTCACATATTAGCACGGTTGGCTACATACAGTGCGAAATAACTTAAACATGCATACACATATATATTCTCGGGTCTTTTGGTAAAGCCACGTAGATAGGTTCACATGCATAAATATATTTCCCTTACGACATTTTAGGACATGGGAACCTATAGGTATAGACAGTTCTGGGTATGCAACTTATAATTGTGTTCTCTAAGGGCTAGGAAACTGAAATGTGATGCAAATATAGTCCAGTGTATGCTTTTAACTATTAAAAAATATGGTTCACTTTGAACCCCAAAATTTTACAGCCAGGAGGTTGATTGGTTTCACTCAACTAAAGTTATTAAAACGTTTCAAGTCTCATACTAAGCACTTAGACGAACATGGTACTCATCACTGAATCAAGTAATAACGACTCGCATCACGTGTGACGATGCCAATAGAAAGTGGGTATGTAATTATAAAGTTTTACTCGCTGGTAAATCATGGAACTTTGTTCATTAAAAGTCTCCATTATTAAATATTTTGCCAATTTTGTATAAAAAAATTGATAGTCAAATTGAAACCTTTTATGTTATCCAAATGTAAATAGTTGCAAATGAATAATGTGGATTAACTGCCGCTTTTTTTAATGAATTGGTGTGGCAGATTTTTTTCATCATTCATACATTTCCTAGATGGTTAACTATTCTTTGAATTAAATTAGCGCTGCAGTGGGAAGCGTGAATTATCAGAAAGTGTTTATCGAAATACGTTTTTAATTTCAGTACTAAAACTCAACGTGAAATGTAATAAACCAACTTTTTCTGCATCAACTGTCACGCTGGTGGAGCCATCTTCATTTATGTCATCGATTTCGTCTGGGTAGTCATCATCTTCATTCAGCAGCTTGTCAAAATCGATATAGTCTTCAAGAGAATCCTCATCTGTGAAACCATCGAGCTCCAAAGCTAGTGTGTCATCCATTAAGGAATCTGAAGGTTTGTTTGGGTACCTGCAATGTAATATTATGCCAACGCACTTAGACAAAAGCCCATCACAACATAACTTGGAATGCAACGGCTCTTACATGTCGGAAGTGAAACAGGATTAAGCCCTTGATTTAAAGCTTTCGTGACTGCAGTAATTCATATTCTTAGCTCTTTCGGTAAAGTCACGTTGAAGGGAAACAATAAAATATATATAAAACAATAAAAATTCTCACGACGTTTCGACCATAACACAAACGGTCGTCATCAGGTGTGAAAAACCAACGGCAACATTTGTTTCTTGCCGTTGGTTTTTCAAGAATATGAATAGGATTAAGCCCGTTTTGTGCTTGGATTTGTGACCGCCATGCATTAAACAATTGTTATAGACTGCTAGAGGGGCTACATTGTTAGCAGAGGGCAGTGCAGCAACATATGTTGTTGCACTGTACTATGTTCCAATGTATGTGCTCCCTGCTTTCACCAACTTAGTTACCAGCTTGGTGAAATTTGGTCAAATAACCCACATGGCATGGAAATGCCCTCATCTGCAGTCGATTGCAAAATAGCTATATATGTACATTTACTACGACGTGGGCTGTCAAGAGTGTATAAGTGAAAAAAAAAACATGCTTTTGATCAAATAATATTATTCAGTATAATTGCAAAATTCTCTCTAGGTTTAGTGGCACCCTCTGTGCTAACTCATAACTAGGCTCACTTACACAGGAAGGCAACCATATACACTGGTGTATCGATTTGCTTGCTACTTTTGGTTCTCGAGTTAAATGCGGAATCACAGACAAACAATTGTTTTGCAATCCATCAATAGTTGTATGATAATAAAGTTGCACACATTTCAATATTTCAATTTTAGTGTGATCATCCTTTTAAAAAACATTGTTACGTAGCTATCCGTTAATGCTTGTCTCTCGTAAGAAGTCAGAAACACACACACTCGCATAGATGTGTAATTTTAAAAGGACACTTTTATGCTGATTATTTTTTTAGGGTAATGTGCATCATTTTACTATGATATTTCTCAGGTTATAAGGAGAATATTCACACAACGAATCAAAAGTAATATGAGCTGTGTATCTAAGCAAGATTGACACATTTTATTTTAAGTGTACATTTCACGTGGTAGAGCAAATGGATAAGAAGAAAGCAGTGGCCGGCATTCTTCAGCAATTACTTTTGTAGCCAGTTAGTTGTTTTGTCTTGAGATGTATAGATGTGTTAAATACTTTAGTAATTTGAAAAAAAACACATTTGTGTAAATACAATAGTCATTATAAAAAAAGCAATGTTTTATTAACAGATCACATTTAGGATGCTTCTCCGTTGTTGTGATCACCATTATTGCCTTTGTTTTACATAGCTCTTTAACATCAAAACAACTGACCTTGAAAAAGATAGCTGTGCATCTTTGTTGACATCAACAGCTGTCTTGGTTTGGTCTTGTCCCTCAACCCATTGTAAGACGCTCAAAGCAAATATGAGCCCATACAGAAACATGGTGGCAGGGCTTCCTCGTTTGGTTTGAAATTTCTATAATGAGCAATACATTATATATAGCACAACATTTAGGAGTCGCGATACAATCACATTCATGTATTAATATTCGTATTATATTTCATAATGATATCCAGAAATGTATCACTGAGTCAAAATAATTCTTCAGGATTGTCCTGCATTTTTTTTATCTTTGACAAGTTCCACATTTTTGAGTCTTTTGTGTGGTAAGAAACTGGAGTACGCAGATAAACTGCACGCTTATTTATGAGGTGATACTACTGAAAAGGTCCACACAGACCAGTTCCGAAGTCATTTCTGCTCTGCCATTTTCTGGCCACCTAGTAGCCATAGCGGCAGTCACAAATCTGCATGATCCACTGAGTTGCCTCCAAACGGCAGGAATACAGGCACGTGCACTGCCATGCCCTACAAATGAGTGCAGTGGCAGATTGCAATTATAACTAAAACATATCGCTTACGTATTTTGTTATCATACATATTTTACAAACCTGTCCCATATATGTTGAACTACATACATAGTACGAATATTTTAAATTGACATTTTTCTTCAGCGTTGAAATAGCCTAAGTTGTTCACGCAAAAAAAACCTCTTGTCATTTGTTTAAGCTGCCAAATCTGGTTCGGGCTTTGCCTTGTTTCGACAAATGCTGCTGGAAAACATTCCCCAGAAATGTATTAAACACAACCTCCCTGGTAATTTATTATTCAATCGTGTTTATGTAACTATTTACTTTGTACGTTTAGTCATTGCCATATATCCTCAAATTACAAATGAATAGTGGGCCGTGTTAAAATGCCAGTTTAAATATACTGGTTGCGTTGAAGTACGATTTTTAAATATTGTAATAAATGAAATATTCTCACCGTATCAATACTTGGAAACATCCGTAGAGGCAGCCTCTGTCATTGTAGACAGGTAAAACATAATAAATACCGTAACTAGATGTGGGGGCCTTTCCTTCAGTTTTTCAGATGATGCACAAATATTTGTCACTGCAGATATGACATTTTGTACCAGGGTCAGCACTTTTTTTCACAATACCAGCTCGTATGTATCATTGGTCAGCTTTAAAATGTTTTATGTATTCGGCTCAGCTGCACATGTTTACATAGTTTTATATTGATGGTGTTATGGAATTGTGTATGTTTTGTATTCCATCAAGAGCAGTAAGTTAACCTTATCCGGTTTTGCAGTTGGAGAAACATACTTTACATTTATGAGTAAATTTGCAATTACATGTATTTCTGGTGATCTAATTTATTAAAAAGCATCTTTGAACGTTAATGCATTTAGGTCACTATGTTAATATGTTGCAGTCAGTGACTATATGTATTAGATGTATATGGATGCGTTGATTCATGGATTTGTTTGTTTTTAAGCCTTTATACTTGGAAAGAATGGATTTTTTTCGATTTGTATATGTTCTATGTAATGGTTTAATGTCGCCCCCGAAGCCACGAGTGACTGTTTTACTGACCAGGAAAGGTCAAACAAAAGTCGAAGTTTTTCACTCCTATTCCTTTTCGTCACCCTGATCCAGAGGGCATCACAATCCTCTGCCATGGATGCCACCGGACACCACAATTGTTTCTCTGCTAAATCCCATAATTGTTGCAAAGTCCATAGTTTATTTCCAAAGTCAGCTATTACAGTATCCTACCACTGTATCTGGCTTACATAAATATACATGGCAAACATATTTCGATAGCTTGCTCAAACAAATGCTATTATGAAACATGAGTCCAAACAGCTCATAGACCAATGAACTGTTACCCACAATGCATTATGAGTTTTATATCTGCTAGGCTTTTGCTTGCACTTCATTTCCTATCTGAGGAAACTACTGTCCTCGATCCGATACCACCTTTTGTAATCTCCTCTTCCTGACTACATCCACAACAATTTCTTGTGTTGTGTATGTACAGTGAGGGAAAACAAGTATTTGATCCCCTGCTGATTTTGTACGTTTGCCCACTGACAATGAAATCATCAGTCTATAATTTTAATGGTAGGTTTATTTGACCAGTGAGAGACAGAATAACAACAAAAAAATCCAGAAAAACGCATGTCAAAATGTTGTAAATTGATTTGAATTTTAATGAGGGAAATAAGTATTTGACTCCCTCTCAATCAGAAAGATGGGATTAGGAGCACTCCCTTTAAGAGTGTGCTCCTAATCTCAGCTCGTTACCTGTATAAAAGACACCTGTCCACAGAAGCAATCAATCAATCAGATTCCCAACTCTCCACCATGGCCAAGACCAAAGAGCTCTCCAAGGATGTCAGGGACAAGATTGTAGACCTACACAAGGCTGGAATGGGCTACAAGACCATTGCCAAGTAGCTTGGTGAGAAGGTGACAACATACTCTTTGGTTTTATTCGGTAAAGTCACATAGATAAAATAAAACAAAATTAAAGAAAATAATTAAATCGCGACGTTTTGGAGGCAACACAAGCTTCCGTCTTCAGGTGGAAAAGTCAACGCAGAATATCTGTGTCAGGAGCACAGTTCAGAGACAACCGGGATTATATACAGGTTAAGGGAGGGGGGAGGAGTCAGTAAGGGGGCGTGGGTGGGTGGGAGGGCTGGGTTAAGCAACCTTTTAATAGGCTGCTGCAGGTAACAACCACAAGGTGACAACAGTTGGTGCGATTATTCGCAAATGGAAGAAACACAAAAGAACTGTCAATCTCCCTCGGCCTGGGGCTCCATGCAAGATCTCACCTCGTGGAGTTGCAATGATCATAAGAACGGTGAGGAATCAGCCCAGAACTACACAGGATGATCTTGTCAATGATCTCAAGGCAGCTGGGACCATAGTCACCAAGAAAACAATTGAAGGACTGAAATCCTGCAGCACCCGCAAGGTCCCCCTGCTCAAGAAAGCACATATACATGCCCGTCTGAAGTTTGCCAATGAACATCTGAATGATTCAGAGGACAACTGGGTGAAAGTGTTGTGGTCAGATGAGACCAAAATGGAGCTCTTTGGCATCAACTCAACTCGCCGTGTTTGGAGGAGGAATGCTGCCTATGACCCCAAGAACACCATCCCCACCGTCAAACATGGAGGTGGAAACATTATGCTTTGGGTGTGTTTTTCTGCTAAGGGGACAGGACAACTTCACCGCATCAAAGGGACGATAGACGGGGCCATGTACCGTCAAATCTTGGGTGAGAACCTTCTTCCCTCAGCCAGGGCATTGAAAATGGGTCGTTGATGGGTATTCCAGCATGACAATGACCCAAAACACACGGCCAAGGCAACAAAGGAGTGGCTCAAGAAGAAGCACATTAAGGTCCTGGAGTGGCCTAGCCAGTCTCCAGACCTTAATCCCATAGAAAATCTGTGGAGGGAGCTGAAGGTTCGAGTTTCCAAACGTCAGCCTCGAAACCTTAATGACTTGGAGAAGATCTGCAAAGAGGAGTGGGACGAAATCCCTCCTGAGATGTGTGCAAACCAGGTGGCCAACTACAAGAAACGTCTGGCCTCTGTGATTGCCAACAAGGGTTTTGCCACCAAGTACTAAGTCATGTTTTGCAGAGGGGTCAAATACTTATTTCCCTCATTAAAATGCAAATCAACGTATACAATTTTTGACATGCGTTTCTATGGATTTTGTTGTTATTCTGTCTCTCACTGTTCAAATACACCTACTATTAAAATTATAGACTGATAATTTCTTTGTCAGTGGGCAAACGTACAAAATCAGCAGGGGATAAAATACTTGTTTCCCTCACTATAATCCAAACCTAAGCGCCCAGCCCCAGTGCCTTAAACTGTCAACATCTATGGTGCCCCCTAAAAAAATGTAGCTTTAAAATCTTAATCATCTCCATACTCCTAGTCTATCAGTTTAAAATGACCTATTATCATCCATGAGTGGTGTCTATCCAATTCTTGCTGTTTGTGAATATGTGGTGAAAAACACTATTGAACAAAGTTGGCAACAAAGTATACCTCTGATTAACACCAGTCCTCTTTCAGTTGTGCATGTTCTTACGTGCCCTCTTGCCTTACAATTAATGTCATAACAACATAGAAGTTCCCCTGAACTTTTGCTACAAACAAAATCACGTACTTGCTTCAAGTTCTCGAAGCAAACCATGGATATTGTATTTCATCTCAGCTCTTTGCTTTCACCTGCCTGACTAAATATTGCATTACCACAACACACATTCTTGGTTCTGTCGGTAAAGTCACGTAGATAGAAAATAATAATACATTTTTTTTAATTTGAATTTTTCTTTTCTATCTATGTGACTTTACCGAAAGAACCAAGAATATGAATTCCTGCAGTCACGAACGTTTTAAGTCAAAATTTGCTACAACGCCTTTTGCTGTAAACTCACCCTGGATTTCCCATAAGCACATTTATATTTGCTTATTTGTTCTGCACCACAAAACTCTGGTAAGTACCTTTCCTCGTATTCTCAGTAAACATATACCTTGTCTATCATCCTTATGTAATAGTATTATAGTGGCCTATTTCCAATCCTGAGGAAACTGTTTCTGCATGCTTTACTGCAAGTAGCCTCACGAGCATATGTTGGTCCTCATTCAACCATGTAGTAGTTCCTTCTGCCTTCGAAGGTTTAATCTAAATAATCATATCTCTAAGGTTACTTATTTATCCATTTCTTGAGCATTGCCTGCCTTTTGTAAATTACTTTTCGTCTCCTGCTTGATGCATGCTCAGTGATTGATAGACTCGTGACACACTTAAACCTTATTACCAAAGATAAATTATACTCCTGCTTTATGTTGCTCACCCTTTATCACACTGCCTACGGATGAAATTGTCTATCACCACCTTACGTGAATCTATATCGCCTTACAGGCTCCCAAACAAAAGCCATGTGCATATTTGCTTTACTCACTTCATAAAAGGTTCATATGTGGCTAAACCTAATTCTTGTCTGTGTCGTGCTGTTTTAAACCATGTTTTATCAACTCTGGGGCAGTGGTCTTATACTTCTAATTTTATAGCCACCTGTGACTTGAGTGCACTGCAGATAATTGTTGATCTTGTCGGTCTGAGCTTGCCTGTTTAGAAGTCATGGTGTGGTGCTTGGTTTCAGGTAGAGTACTAAGCAGCAGCTACTCATTTGCCAGTGTATGTGGATGCTATTTTGATTACTGGGTTCTCATCTGTATTTGGCAATGCTGTTATCAAATAGGGATCCCTTTTGCGGTTGTCATTAGCTTACGTATAGTAGGCCTACGTTCTTTTTGGTGATGCCATGATTACCACTGCGCTATTGGGGATGCCATTGGCGACTGGAGACTCATCTATAACATTGGTAGTTATATTACACCAGGGATCCCATATCCTTAAACCAAAACCCCTTTAGTCACTACTTTGACACAATGCCTGTACATGATGCTGCCCATCTCCCGTGGATTTTAGGAACCTCCAGTAGTGGACACTCGAAATTCCTATGGTGGAGTCAACTGTCAATCTGTATTCACTTCTCACAAAAGTGCTCAGGGTTGAGTTGACTCCTGATCTTAATTTTTACTCGCAACCTGATAGGGAGCTGCCTGCTGTTATCTATGTATGTTGAACGCACTGTACATAGCCAACCGTGCTAACTAAAGGTTCGAGGAAAGGACAAGAAACTTAACAGAAAAAGCCGTTCTAAAGAAATTAGGTTTAAAACGGCATAGCTCCAGTGGCTTTCAAGTATCGGAAGGAAGAGCGTTACAGATGGCCGCAGAAGCGCATCTGAAAGCGTGCGATGCAGTGACCATCTTTGTTCGATGGCTAGCCAAAAGTCGCTGTGAGGGTGATAGTGTATGCTTCTTAATGCAGTTAAGGAGGGAATTCAGATGGTATGTTAACGAAACACAAATTTTCAATTGGATAAACGTTGGCGATGTAACATCTGAAGTTAATGAAAGTCTTGAGTGGAGTGTTAAGACATTTTTTGTGATTTTCTGAAATGCATATGCTTTTTGGAGACGTTTTCACATATTTTAGATTTTGATTTAAAGCTTTCGTGACTG